GGCTCAAAATCGTTGTCAATGGCGCAGATGCATTTAGTCTCTGTAATTTTTATATTTCTTTCTACCATTACGCATTCTGTTTCACTCTTATACTAGTCAAACTATATTGATTCTCTTCATTCATCTTCTTGTCTACTTTTGTGTGCTATTGGGAACGTGGCAACTCGAACTGTTGCACTTCGGTGACAAGTTCTACGTTGAATACAGATATTCAATTTACCAACTTCTACCAACCGATAGAATCAGTGAGTATTTATCAGCCCATCAAAATTGATGGACCTCAAACCATTAGACCACGACTTCCTCTCACTATGAGTCCAGAAATTCCCCCCTAACCTCAATGCATGTGTGAGTTCGGTAGACACATCGGAAGTCAATCGTTGAACAGTAATACATGTAGCGTGTACGTTAGTCACCTTACTATCGATCCTCACTGAGTGGGCCGGTAAGCAATGGGTGTTAAACTACTACTAAACGATTCAAAACTCGTAACCAACACGACAGACAGCTGTTCAACAATGACATTTAGCTTTACTTTTTTCTATAGAGGCTCTTTCATCACTTGGCATCGATGTATCATGTGATCTTGTCATCCTTACAACTTGATGATGGAAATGACATATACACACACACGCATGATCGCAAACCTGAAACATGAAGACAACAAACAATTCGTGCAGAATAAATACTATCCTACAAAGACAATGACATTAAGCGAATCATGTGATAAAAGTACCACTTCAAATTATTATTAAAAACGAACATTTTTGAAAGTTTTCGATATATATATATATATATATATATATATATATATATTCATTGATTTTTAACGTCAATAATCCAGTTAAACGTGGCAGTTACTTATTTTTGTTATCGAATTTAATTCTATCCCTTGGCCTTCCCAAGGGAACGTAGCGCTTAAGACTTCAACCAGCTTGACATTTCAGTACCGGTGATATTCCCATTTCTAAAGAGGAATTGAGTTGTTCACCTCACGTCCAATCTCCCCACTTTACCGCGTTTACTATGGAGCTAAGCGAGGTTAAGGAGTGAGTAAGCCAGAGATGCCAACTCCGGATGAAATGTGAGGTTGATGAGTATAGAACATTGGCAGGAAGGTGTTTCCCTCAGATGACTAGCAAGCCAACTATGCTCCCAGTCCACTCTGGGGAGCAGAGTTAGAAAAAGTCAACCCTGAAGGTTGTGTACATCCCAAAATCATTTGTAGTGGTCCGTAGACGTGGGCGAGATCTTAACGCGGACATAACTCTAAAAGCACTTCAAACAGGCCACATGTGACTGGCTCCAAGCAGTTGCCTTCTGGGCTCTACCGTCAGGCATAATTCATGCCTTCTCCTGTAACAGGAGAATACAAGCGACGCAGTATATCTGTAGGGAAATTATGTACACCTTATATGAAAATCGTCATTTTCACAGATCTTCCGTGTTGTGCTACTTCTGCCCTAGGCATTGTATTTCTTTGTCTTCTTTTCGTGTCATCCATGTTTTGCTGCAATACTGGTTCGCTACCTCTCTCGCCATCTCTGCACTAGTTGATATTTTTGCGCCGATGAACGTTTCTTTATATACTACGGATAAATCTTGTCACTAGCACATGCCACAACTCCATTCCAGGTACAGCCAAGAAGAAATTAACTACTACGGTGTGAGTGGCAGGGAAGCAAAATAACCACACCCACAGACTTTCATATGCACACAGATTTATCCTAACCATCATCACTCATTATATGTATATATATATATATATATATATATATATATATATATATATTCAAGTATTGGTTTTGCAGAGATTTTGTTTGATTGCATGGAGGATTTCATCATGAGCTGATATCAGTTAGAAAACTATTGGGAAACCAGCCACGAGTACTGCACAGCTGTTTCCTCTGTCCTAGTTTGGGACTCTTCAGCAGTACGCACCCACCAGAATTCGAACCCAGGACCTTCTGGTTACAAGGCCAGCGAGCTCGTATACCATTAAGCCACTGGGACCCGATCAAATGACCCATGAATTCTAACTTCTGCCAATACCAATACCTTTTTTTAATACCAGTTTAAGTCGGTCTTTCAAAGGGAACAGAGTAATTATTCAATATCAAGTGATCGTTTGCAAGGATTCCATTGTTTACTAACTGACATCGATATGAGAACCACCGGAAAACAAGCAAGAAGTACTGGACGGCTGGCTACCTGAAGTTCTAGTGAGAAGTCATAACCACCAATTCAAGCGAGAGCATAGTTACTCGCTCAGCACACTGGCTGGCGTTTGCACTAGATATATGTATCGAATCGCCATAAGCTCGGGTTGAGGAAGGATTTTATAGGTCCCCAGTAGCTGAATGCTTCGTCTAAGAGCTCACCTCGGAATCGGAAGGTTTTCCAGAAACTTCATGCATTTATTCCCCTTGATGAATTTGAAATAAAGCAAGAACAACAGTGGTTTGTGCACAAATTGTAGACAACAATTTACGTCAATGTTTACGTGCCGAATCAGGGTGATGAGAAAAAATAATAACAAAGCTAAGCCTTGAGGAACTCAACAACCAATCACAGCGGACTTAGCGTTCGCAAATACGATTCGCAGATATATGGCTTAACCATCTAAAGAACGGTCACAAGCGGTACAGAATAAACTTCAGCAAGAAAACAACCAATCAACCAAGACGTTGCTTCTCTGCTGAAAATAATGTACATAAAAATCTTTAGATATCTGTTGATTTTCTTAATAAACGATCTGTTTCCTGGCCCTTGTCTTCTGTCGTTAGAATATGATTATTAACGATGAACTAATATGGAATTAACAAGTGTTGGTTTGAATAGATGTGGTTGGTTAGAGGATTGACCACAAGTCGAAATCAGCTACAAGACCACTGGAAAAATCTGAGAGTACTGGACAACTATTTCGTCATATTTTAAGACTCATCAGAAGCACTCACCCACTGCCAGGATTCGAACCCAAGGACCTCTAGGTCGAGGCGAGTCCGTAGAATGAGCATTTAGCCGATTGGACCCGAATAAATGGCCAGCTCATGAATCCCAACGTCTCCCAGTTCGTGAAATATTTAGCGCAAACGTCGGCCAATGTCGCGGGCGAGTAACTCTCCTCCTGCCTGACGTGGTAGACCCCAATGACTCCGACTTTTCAAGAGAAACCCAGGTAACTTCCTACATAGGGCCAGTTGCTAGTCAACATCACATTAATTATCGATTGTTGGTTTTTAGCGATTAGATTGGTTACAAGACTGATCACAAGTTGACATTAGTTAGAGGACCACACTAACTCTAGCCGCAAGACCTTGCGTTCGAACCCCCGGCGGTGGGTGCGTACTACTAAAGAGTCGCAAAGTAGGGCAAAACAGCTGTCCAGTACTCCCCCTGGTTCTCCAATGGTCCGCTAACTGATGTCAGATCATGGACAATCCTGTAACTAATATTGCATTGCATACTGGCCGAAATGCCCAGGTTTTACGCATGAATGTTAGAGTAGATGGTGGAGTGTGATATGATTTTCTTTTTCGTTAGTTGGAGGATTTCATTATGAGGTTGACATCAGTTAGAAAACCATTGAGAAATCTAGGAGTAATGGACAGTTGTTTCGTTATAGTTTGAGATTCTTCAGCAGCATGCACTCACCGGGGTTCGAACCGACGGCCTTCAGATTACAGAGTTAAGCTCATTGACTACTCAGCCACTTGGGGTGGAAATCAACGGCCCCGTGGATTACATCTTTAATTCACGATATAAACTTGGACGAACATCCGTTTCACTCTGGTATTATCGTGGACTCCACTGGACACGACCTTACTCAGTACTGCGAGACATACATCCAGTAACGACCGATGAACAGTAGGTTGATATTTCGACTATTGGCCTCGTAAAAAGCTCGACACCTGTGAGTGGTCGGGTCGTGGGTGTGCACTGATGAGGAGTTCTAAACTATGACGCAACACAACCATTCAGTACTATCCAGCTTTCACTGATATCTAACAGGAATTCGTGTTTGACGAAGTTTCCACTGAAATTATTGCAAATCCCTACGAAAACTCATAATCAAAAGATTACATTACATCAGAAATTTAGGATCTCCCCCAAATTGTTCAAAAAACGAAACCATTAAAATAATAAACTACAAACGGATAATCACGACTTGTACTTCACACTTCTGAAAAGAGTGCTTAAAAACTTACACAGATATCTCACCAACCTCTTCATAAATTAATGCTAGTCTCAGAGATTTGATTCCATCTTCTGTTGCTCTGTGACTATAAGTAATTCCAAGAACTCGACAAGTGCCAGCATTTGCATATTGTACAGTAATGGTCAGTAATGATCACAGACTGATATCAGTAAGAGAACCATATGAAACCATCAGGGAGTATCAAAAAGCTGTTTCGTCCTACTTTGAGACTCTTCATCACTATTCACTCATCTCCAGGGTACGAGGCGACCACGTACAAAGAGCATTCAACCACTAGGACCCGACTCAATGGCCAGTCTATCAATTCTAACTTCTACAACAATTTGTGATTTTAGCACAAACACTATCCAGTGTCATCAGGTAGCATTTGTCTTCACTCCCAACTGGGTGGTCCCCACTGGTTACGACTTCTCATTGGAACTCAAGGCAACTTCCTCCTGCTGGTAGTCGCGCTAAAATCACGAAATGGAAGAAATTAGAATTCACAAGTTGGTCATTGAGTCGGGCCCCACTGGCTGAATGGTCTACAAGTTATCCTGACTTGCAACCGGAAGGTTCTGAGTCCGAACTCTGGCGGTTGGTACGCACTACCGATGAGTTCCGAAACAGGACGAAACGGCTGTCTAGTACTCCCTAGTTATCTTGAATGGTTCTCTAACTGATATCAATGCATGATCAAACTTGTGAAAAATCAAATCGCTACAGGTAAACTCATGAAAACGGGTAAAAGAAGCATTAGATGTGCGAATCCCCTTCATTCAAGAATAGTACAGATGCTTACCCAGAGGATCTTCAGAAGTATTATCCGCTTTAAAGGAGGCAGGAAATGGAGGTTGTAGTTTTGGTCGAATTACATCCGAATAAATTGAATCTGAATAATATTGTTTCGTCAGTACTGACCAATCGACTGCATTTGATAATATGCCCTACAAAATTTTATTTAAAGGAATAGAGATATTAGTAATATAGGACAGATAAAGGTATATATATATATATATATATATATATATATATATATATATATATATATATGTACATGAAAGTAAAACACAAAAGGATTTCTGACAAAAACTGCATTCAAATATACACAGACAGATAGACAATGACAAATTATCATATACAAATATCATATATTCGTGCTGAAGTTTCTGTAGCAACTTCCTTTTATTTTTTTTATTTTGATTACAGCTTGATTCCAAACTGTATTTTTGATAAAAGTATGGAATTTTCAGTGTGGATATCGGTAGCCCAAATTTTGCGTCGGTGGCACAGTGGTTAGGACTCTCGCCGACCATGCACATGGTCCGGGGTTCGAGCCCACGCCGGCGCACACCTGATATCTATGGTCGGCCTGCAAAATTTGGGCTACCGATATCCATGCTGAAAATTCCATACTTGTACCAAAAATACGGTGTGGAATCAAGCTGTAAATAAAAAATAAAAAAATAAACAAAAAATAAAAATATCAGGTGTGCGTCGCCAGGGGATCGAACCTCGGACCATGTGCAAGGTCGGCGAGAGTCCTAACCACTGTGCCACCGACGCACAGGGTAGGGTTGTTAGCCTCACGCCTGAGAAAGGGGTTATTACATGAGTGTATACGCTACAGGAGAGCGACCTTTTGCGTTGCTCCCCTTAGCATAAGGAAAACAAGTAATGAAGCAATCGGAACAACACCAGCAAAGGGAAAATAAAATAAAAAATTTACAACAGGAGGTCAACAACACCCAGCATGAAAATGAAAATAAGATCCGGATTTTCAACTCCAATGTGAAATCAGTGCTACTTACTATATGGATCAGAGACTTGGCACCGCGTCACGATTAGGACCTCAAACAAACTACAGACCTTCATCAACAGCTTTCTCCTCTCAGTATTACTCAAAATCAGATGGCTAGCCAGAAAAGATCAGCAACACCAGGAACTGGTTGTGCAACAAATATGGAGGAAGAAATAGAGGTGGATTTTTTCGTGGCTGTACTCTGAGAAAACCATCAAGTAACACCACATACCAAGCCATCGCTCGAGTGGAAGTCGATTGGGAAGTGGTGAGTTGGTCGTCAGTGAGAGGGTGATATGGAGGAGGTTATGTGAAAAGGAGATGAAAACATGAGGGCAGATGTAAAGCCGGATGATGAAAGCTTTGGCAGAGAACCGAACGCAATGGAGACGTGCGGCTGAAACCTTATGTTCCTCTAGGAACTAAAGGAAACAATAATGATACTGTCTATTATTATGATTACTATTTTGCTTGGGTTCCGAGTGGAACATAGGTCTCCAACAACTCACCTCCATTTCGTCCTATTTCCTGTATTGCTTTTTAGCTGGCACCACGATTCAACTCACACAATCTCCTATATGTCACTCTCATGCCCAACCCATCGCTCCCTCGCCATTCGGGCCCCACTCGAACGATGGCCTAGCGCGCAACGCCATTTGACGGTCTCCTCATCAGCGTGTCCGACCCATCTTCATTCTCTTCGGGAAAATTCGTTGAGCAATGGCTTCTTCTTCTTACTGATGGTAAGCAGATAAACAGTATTCCTTATTCACTTGGTGTGTGTACACCCCCCCCCTAAAAAGGTCTCTAATACATTCCTTTGCAGCTGCTATGTTTTCTAGTGTCACAAGTGTCAATGAGACCTGTTTCCCTGGTTCCAATACAAATGACGTTCTAAAATGTCTTTAGTCGCTGAACCCTTCTTTTAGCCTATGTTCAGATGGTGTGCCTAGCGTTATTCCTAAAAAATATGTGCACATATCCTCTCACTGACATACTTAAAGAATCTTTTTCCGGAAATGTCGTGCCAGCCGTTTGGAAGGACATTAAAATTGTACTTATACCTAAGTCATCTACTGAAACATGTGTCAAGTTGAGACATATTGCTATAAACTCTCCTTTTCTAAAAGCTATGGAAAAGTCACTATTACTTGATATTGAACCTTCACTTAAAGCCTTTAACGATCCCAAACAATTCGCCTATAAACACAGTAGAAGTACTTTAGATGCAGTTGCAGTCTTGCACCATAACATCGTCTCCAGCTTAGACAACCGGGCTAAATTTGTTTGCTGCACCTTCCTAGACTACACATCTGCTTTCAACTCAGTACCTAGGGACATTTTGTTAAACAAGCTTGCTGAAACTCAAAGTGACTGTTGGCTTGTCAAATGGCTCCATTCTTATTTCTCAGGAAGAAACCAGTACACTGTATGTCACGGAAAGTCGTCCACTTCGTTGCGCTGTTCTTTCTCTCTTTCTGTTTTCTTTCTTCTTGCATGACTTGCCTCATTCTGATGAAATAAACTTTGTTAAGTATGCCGATGATCTAACTATTTCAACATCTGTTAACTCCCAGTTAGATTGTACTAAGATGAATAGCTTTCTATCAGGTATTAGCAAATGGTTTTCGTCTAACGGCCTTAAACTAAATCCTTCCAAATGTCAGACTGTTAATTTGAGTTTCCGATGTGAAAGAAAGTTAAATGAAGCTGTTGGTTCCTATGAACCTTGCAAAATTGATGACAGTGATATAGAAATCAAGTCTGAAGTATCTTGGATTAATTCTTTCTTCTGATCTATCCTGATCTTCCTGTGTCTTAGCGACTTCTAAAACAGTATTTCATCTGCCTTTTCACATTAAGAAGTTAAGTATAACTCAATCCCTCTTCTGACAGTTTGTCAATTCGTGCATCTTACCTATTCTTCTTTACTGTTCAATCTTATTCTTTCTTGGTTTGCTTAAAAAAGACTATGTCATACTTCGTAGGACACTGAAAACTGTCAGTCAGCAGGGTGAGTGGTATCCCATTGGGCTATGTCGTTCACATCGTCATTGATAGACACTCGATTTCATGTAGTAAATTTGCTAAAGGGATTTTGTCAGATTGTGAGCATCCACTTTACCTGTAGCTGTCACTTTGTGTCTCTTCAGGTGGAACAAGAAGCCATTTCGAAGGACTTTATGCGCGTACGTTTATGTATATAAATCCCACGATACCATATTTAACACGTATTGATGAAAATAATGTCAGGCATGAGCTAATTGACCTTCTTCCCACTAGTAAATAAACCATTTTCTCCCTTCTTAGACCACCAAGTTTAACTGTTATCAAACCTATTATATTTATAGTCCCCTGATTTTTTTCATAACATCATTTATGCTTTGTAATAATTTGTTTTAACTTTTTTGTTTTACCCCTAAGCATGCAATATGTCAAGAGGACGTAAGCTTCAGTACTCTATAATATGCTGAAAATTCCATACAGTATCGACAATATTGGTTGAGAAAAACCCACCATTATTATTATTATTATCGTAGTTATTATTTTCATTTTGTACTTTGCACATTTTTGACTTTATTCCTAATGTAAATGTGAACAAATTCCTGTGGTTAATTTTATTTATATTTTGAGTAAATTAGATGCAATATTCTTGTGACAAATGCTGAAAATAACACGCTTTATTATGAGTATTGTTTTTTTTTGGAATAAAGAGGATTATTAGTGTTGCTAACTGTTTCTGGCTAGTCATCTGATTTCAGTACGAAGCTAGAGAAGGCGGTCGTTGATAAAAGTCTACAATGGCATATTGAAGATACTTTTAGCGAGACAAGCTTCAAGTCTCTGATCCATATACAAGAACTGACTGGCGTGAAATTGATGTTGAAAATCCGAATCTTGTTTTTTTTTTAATATCCCGGTGGAGTGCAGAAGATTTCCAGACTGATTTCACAATGACGACGGTCTGCCATATGTTTCCGATTCTGGTTTCGATGTCCTTATCTGTCGCGACGACCTGTAGTTGAAACGATGCTGCCCGGTGAGACAATTGAGGGAAGTGACCTCTTTCAAATGCCTTCCGTTGATAGTGATTAGTGTTCGTTATTGTTGGACAAACAGTGGCTCACTACGGACACTTGGAAACTAATAGAAGAGAGAAGGATGGTGAAACAACAGATTATCCAGTGCACTGACGAGCAACAAAAACAGGAGTTGAATGCAAGCTGAAAATACGCTGAACAAAAGAGTAAAGAAGAGTGCCAGGGAAAACAAAAAAAAATAATTATAAAGCCATGACAAGTGAAGCAGAACAAGCTGCAGGCAAAGGAGACCTCGCCACACTCTACCAAACAACTAAAAACCTATCGGGCAAAAGTTTGACACAAATTAAACCAGTGAAGGAAGACAAAGGAAAATCAATCACCAAAGAAGTGGAGCAAAGAAAACACTGGGCTGAACATTTCCAAAGACTTCTAAATCGACTACCACCTACAACGCGGCCAACAATAGCAACAACGGAAGCAGAACTACCAGTGAACATCGACCCCCTGACGAAATCAGAAGTCTTGAATGCAAACAAGATGCTAAAAGCTGGAAAAGCAGCAGGACCAGATGGAATCCCAGCAGAAGCATTGAAAATTGACCCAGAGACAACAGCGGACTTGATGACACCACTGCTGGAGAAGGTGTGGAAAGAGGACAAAGTACCCGAGGATTGGAAGAAAGGATAATTATTCAAACTACCAAAGAAACGAGACTTAAGTCAATGCAAGAACTGGCGCTGAATTATGCTCCTGTCCATCCCAAGCAAAATACTAAGCCGCATCATCCTGGACAGAATCAAACAAGCCATGGACGAAAAACTTCGGCCGGAGCAGGCCGGAATCAGGAGAAACAAATCATGTATTGATCAAATTGCCACAATACAGATCATCATTGAACAAAGTTAGATTGGCAGTCACCTCTCTATCGCAACTTCATCGACTTTGAAAAGGCCTTCGACAGCGTCGATCGAGAGGTCATTTGGCAATTACTTTGCCACTACGGGGTGCCATCGACAATTATACATCTCATCCAAAAGTTCTATGACAATGCTGCATGCCAAGTAATCCACAACCGGAAACTTACGGAATCCTTCGAAGTGAGGATGGGAGTGAGGCAAGGCTGTCTACTGTCGCCAATGATTTTCCTGATTGCAGTAGATTGGATAATGCGACAGACAGTGGTCAGCGAGGAAAGACGTATAAAATGGACCCTCATGAAAAACTTGGAGGATTTGGACTTCGTCGATGATATATACCTGGTTTCTAACAAAATGGAATATATGCAAGTGAAAAGCAACAAGTTGGCAGAAGAAGCACCGAAGATAAGACTACAGGTGAACATAGAGAAAACAGAGGTAGGCGACGAAGATTCCTGGACAACACCAACAGCCACAGCAACAACACACAACAATTAGCCAGCATAAGTGGGAGGAACCTAAAAGAAACAACCTCCTTTACCTACCCACCTACCTGGGAAGCATCGTTTCAACTACAGGCGGAACTGACAAGGATATCACAGCAATAATTGGGTAAGCAAGACAAACCTTCATTTCTCTCAAATCTGTGTGGAGATTAAAATCACTCAGCATGATTTTCAACTCCAATGTGAAGTCAGTACTACTTACGACACGGACCAGAGACTTGGCGCGTCATGAAGAGCACTTCAAACAAACTACAGACCTTCATCAACAGCTTTCTTCGCTCAATAATACTCAAGATAAGATGTCCGGCCAGAAAAGATCATCAACGGGGATATCTGGGAGCGAACCAACCACGAACTGATTGTGCAAAAAATGTGCAAGAAGAAATGGAGGTGGATTGGATTGGTCATACTCTGAGAAAACCACCTGGTAACATCACATGCCAGGCCATCGCTCGAATGGAAGTCGAATGGGAAGCGGCGAGTTGGTAGTCAGTGCGAGGGTGATATGGAGTAGGTCATGTGAAGAGGAGATGAAAGCATGTGGCCAGACCTGGAGCCCGGTGAAAACGTTGGCAGAGAACCAAACGCAATGAAGACGTGGGGCTGCAGCCCTATGTTCCTCTAGGAATTAAAGGGGATTATGATAATTATTGGTTAGTTGGTTGGTTATCTTCATCGCCTTAGTCTTTTCTATGTTTCCTTGATGTGTTGTTTTGTTGCTTCTTCTGTCAGCTTTTTGGTTTTTACCTGCATATCTTCGAGCTTGTGTGATATTAGACATATTTCGTCCGCCTCAAAATCAAGATCTATAATCTTCCCATCACTCCACACTTCGACAAGGTGTTAATAAAAGAAAACAGAAGCAGAATGACGCTAAACTAAGAGAGAAAGAAAGATGTGAAAGAATTGACTGAAGATGAGTGTAATTAAAATCCAGATCCCCGCAACCGAATTCCCCATGTACCAGGCTATGAGTTAAAACCTATTTGTACGACAGGTGATGACGATGATGATGATACTACCCAGTCACCCAGGATTCGAACCTAAGACGTATTAGCTGTAAGTGGAATGCTTAAACTAGTAAATGTTTAAAATTTCGAAGGAAGGGAGTCTGAGCTATGTTATGACTAGTCTCTTCAGTCAATCATTCTTAGCACCACCACAAAGGTCATAACTAGGCTATCCATTCATACCACACTCTGGATCAGACCAATAGACAAGCATTTTAGGCATTTTTGGAATGTTTAATTCAATTTAAATTTTCTTGTCGATTGACTGACACCGAACGCTTCAGTCCAATCAATCGACGGGAAAAAGCCCCATTGTACAAGAGATGGCCCTCGTGGCCCAGATGGTGTAGTGGATAATGCTTTGGCGTTTGAAACTACGGGCAGTGGGTTTGGAGCCCCGGTGGGAAAACTATCACTCACTGAAGAATGCAGAAACATCCAGCTGCCGAGTCTCAAATAGGTGGGGGGGGGGGAATGCGCATCCTGGATCTCACTGTTAATTATCATCCACCAATCTGTGAGGTGTTTTGCACTGGCTACCCATAACTGTGTAAGGAACTTCATGAAAATACAGAAAATATCAACGGGACAACACGTCAAATGAGTAGTGACAAACTTGAATTGAAGAACAAGGCAAGCAAAATAAGTATACAGTCTTTTTGTCAGCTTATATAATAGTGGGTAGAATGCTTTGCTTTATTCCAAAACATCACATATGTGATACAGTGTAGAATTCTCAGCATTTGGTACAATATTGCATCTAATTTACTCGACAACAACAAAACCAAACAAATATTACGGGGTACAGGTAATCAGAATTAATCAATAACAACTTTTTGGTATTACCAGTGACAATAAAGTCAAAACTCTGTACAAAGGGTGTAGAATGGTGATAATACTGTTGACAGCTAAAATTATAAGTAAACTGAAATAGTCACTATAGATTACAAACCGGAGAGGACAGAAGATCCGATTATTTCTCTAATTTCATGGTAAGTTGTAGGTTTCACGCTTAACACTCTTTCTATCACATAGAACGCGGGCAGGTCAAATAGCTGAGTATCGCTGAGTTTTTGTACTTGGCTGTGCGAGCGAGCATATAATCTTTTATAATGATTTCTTCTAGTCCTATCTGATGAGATGGAAGGCGGGGAGAGTTGAGAATAGAGAGGGTGTTGAGAGTCCGACAATATAGATTTCAACCATTTCTCACATGAGCTCAGGTGTCTGTCGACTACAGTAGTAAGTAGTTGCCCGACTTAGTCGTGGCACACTACTTACCCTACTGAAAACCACCTTGAAAATACGAAATAATCCTTTTTGAGTAGCTCAGAAAAGAATGAGAGGAGCAGTAAAGAACAATAGGTAAGATGAAAGAGTTGACAAACTATAAAAGTAAAGGTTGAGGGATACCTACCTGATTGTTTTGACTTCTTAATATGGTAAGGTTAGACTGAACACTTTCTTAGAAATCGACAAGATGTGGGATTACCGAGCTTGAAAGGTTACAGGATAAAACTATTCCAAGGTAGTGTATGCGCTTGACCTAGTTTCTATTTCAGTGCCCTCCATGCTACAAGCATCACGTGAACGAACCAATTCGTGTAGATCCCGTTTATGCCTAAAGGTGAATTTAACTATTTTACATTTAGGGGGATTCAACATAGGGCCATTCGGCTTAGACTAATTACTGGCTGATAAGATCGACAAAACATCTATTCAGTCTGGAAGAGTCATACAGGGACGTAACTACTGGCAGTGAGACAGTCAGACGAAATCTTCTGAAACCACATTTTTACAAAAGGCGGTAAAAACTCGGAGCAACAAATTGCGAAGTATGATGTAATTGAGCAATGCACGGCTTCAAGATTGATTCCTAATTAAGGAGTTTGCCAGAAACAAAGGATGTAGACAGTGTAATGCAGAGGAAATGATTCCCATAACACGTTCATCTTCTTTTTATGTCACAGTGCACATATTTAAAACTGATTTAAACGCACACTTGCAACATACAGAGCTTTTGTGCTGACTTGTACAACAAACCGGTTGCAACGATAGCAACCTCCTGTTCACCGCTTTTAGAAGTTGCAACGACCTTATGAATGGCGGCGAACGATTCACAATACTGACACACATTCTCGGAACATAACAGTGCACGTGGTGTTAAACAGCTTAGGCGATAAAACTTATCAAAGTAAAAACAAAAATAAAATAAAAATGAAAATAACGAACCTCTACAAAGACAACTGACGCTGAAGTCCATGATAGACAAGGAATTAGTGATATAGGCTTCGGCCAAACAGTTGCACATAATCCTGCCATCTAATTAACAAAGGCATAAAGAAAAAAGAGGTATATAACTAGAATTAATTCATGATTTATACGTATCTAGAAAACATTACATAGTTTTATGGATTACAGGACAAAATCATTACATCACAATGATATTTGTTAATAATAATAATTTCGCTTTTATTCCAGAAACAGTACTAGTGGTACAGTGTGGAATTTTCAGCATATATCTACAATATTGCATCTAATTTCATCGCACATTTAAAAGGAATATTTGGCAAAGTATCCTAACATTAAAAGCTCCTATACGAGACTGGGAAAGCTGCCCAGATCGCCAACGAGATGAAAAGATACGGAATACAAGTGCTGGGAATATGTGAGAGCAGATGGAATGGGAGTGGACTCACCAAATTGTCAACAGGTGAGTCAGTGATCTACTCCGGTCACCCAGAAGATAACCACACGCACACCGAGGGCGTGGCTATCATGATGTCACCAACGGCAACGAAAGCCCTGATACAATGGGAGGCGATTTCGTCCAGGATAATGACCGCCAGGTTCAACTCCAAAGGAAGGAAAGTGTCAATCATACAATGTTATGCACCCACAAACAACGCAGACCTCGAGAAGAAAGAAGAATTCTACAGGCAACTACAGGCAACAATGGACAATACTCCAGCTGGCGACATGAAAATACTAATGGGAGACATGAACGCCAAACTGGGACCAGACAATACGGGAAGGGAACTCATCATGGGTAGAGAAGCTCTAGGAGAAATGAATGAAAACGGAGAACTCTTCGCCGACTTCTGCGCCTTCAACGAACTGGTGATTGGTGGCAGTGTATACAAGCACAAAGATATCCACAAGGCTACATGGGTGTCACCAGACGGGCAAACCAAAAACCAAATCGACTTCATCTCAATCTCAAGGAAGTGGAGGCGCAGCCTACTGGACACAAAAGCAAGAAGAGGAGCAGACGTTGGCTCAGACCACTATCTCGTACAAGGGACAATCCAAATCAAATTAAAAGCTTTCAGGGAATCAGGAGCTGCAGATAGACCACAAGCCAAGTTCAACACTCAAAAGCTGAAGGACCAGGCTACAAAGGACATCTTCATTGCAAGCATAAAGGACAAAGCCGAGACACAAATCAACACTAGCGAAGAGGTCGGCGTTGAAAAGCACTGGAACAACTTGAAAACGGTGTGGAGCCAAACCTGCATAGAAATTCTAGGCAGAAAAAAGAGACAGGACAAACAGTGGCTCACTACGGACACTTGGAAACTAATAGAAGAGAGAAGGACAGTGAAGCAAAAGATTATCCAGTGCACGACGAGCAACAAAAACAGGAGCTGAATGCAAGCTACAATACACTGAACAAAAGAGTGAAGAAAAGTGCCAGGGAAGACAAAAGAAAATATTATGAAACCATGGCAAACGAAGCAGAACAAGCTGCAGGCAAAGGAGACCTCGCCACACTCTACCAAACAACTAGGAACCTTTCGGGCAAACGTTCGACACAGATTAAGCCAATAAAGGACGACAATGGAAAGTCAATCACCAAAGAGGTGGAACAGAGAAAGCACTGGGTTGAACACTTCAAAAGACTTCTAAATCGTCCGCCACCTACAACACGTCCAGCAATACCAACAACGGAAGCAGAACTACCAGTGAACACTGACCCCCCGACGAAATCAGAAGTCCTGAATGCAATCAAGATGCTTAAAACTGGGAAAACACCGGGACCAGATGGAATCCCAGCAGAGGCTTTGAAAATAGACCCAGAGACAACAGCGGACTTGATGACACCACTACTGGAGAAGGTGTGGAAAGAGGGCAAAGTACCCGAGGATTGGAAGAACAGTTACTTATTCAAACTTCCAAAGAAAGGAGACTTAAGTCAATGTAAAAACTGGCGTGGAATTATGCTTCTGTCCATTCCAAGCAAGATACTAAGTCGCATCATCCTGGAGAGAATCAAACAAGCCCTAGATGAAAAACTTCGTCCGGAACAGGCTGGATTCAGGAGAAACAAATCATGTATTGATCAAATCGCCACTCTACGGATCATCATTGAACAAAGCTTGGAATGGCAGTCACCTCTCTATCTCAACTTCATCGACTTTGAAAAGGCCTTCGACAGCGTCGATCGAGAGGTCATTTGGAAACTACTTCGCTACTACGGGGTCCCATCGACAATTATACACCTCATCCAACAGTTATACGACAATGCTGCATGCCAAGTAATCCACAACGGGAAACTTACGGAAGCCTTCGAAGTGAGGACGGGAGTGAGGCAAGGCTGTCTACTATCACCAATGATCTTCCTGATTGCAATTGATTGGATAATGCGACAGACAACGGCAACCAACGAGGGAACAGGCATAAAATGGACTGACACAAAAGACTTGGAGGATCTGGATTTCGCCGATGATATATGTCTGATTTCCCATAAACTGGAAGATATGCAAGTGAAAAGTAACAAGTTGGCAGAAGAAGCATCAAAGATAGGACTTCACGTGAACATAGATAAAACAGAGATGATGAAGATTCCTAGCCAACATCAACAACAACAGACAACAATAAGCATAAATGGGAAGAACCTGAAAGAAACAACCTCCTTCACCTACCTGGGAAGCATCGTCTCAACTACAGGCGGAACTGACGAGGACATCAAAGCCAGAATCGGAAAAGCAAGACAAGCTTTCATTACTCTCAAATCTGTGTGGAGGTCAACAGCAATCAGCATCAAAAATAAGATCCGGATTTTCAACTCCAATGTGAAGTCAGTGCTACTATACGGATCAGAGACTTGGCGAGTCATAAAGAGCATCTCAAACAAACTTCAAACCTTCATTAACAACTGTCTCCGCTCAATACTCAAGATCAGATGGCCAGAAAAGATCAGCAACAGGGATCTCTGGGAGCGAACCAATCAGGAACCGATTGTGAAACAAATAGGCAGAAAGAAATGGAGATGGATTGGCCATACGCTGAGGAAACCATCAAGTGACATCACTAGACAAGCCCTCGAGTGGAACCCGAAAGGGAGGCGGCGAGTTGGTCGTCCAAGGGTGACTTGGAGGAGGTCATGCGAGGAGGAGATGAAAGCATGTGGACAGACCTGGAGCAGGGTGAAAAAGTTGTCAGAAAACCGAAGTCAATGGAGGTGCGCAGCTGAAGCCCTATGTTCCTCTAGGAACTAAAGGATACAATAATAATAATAATAATAATAATAATAATAATAATAATAATAATAATATGAAACTGGTGGCGCGGCTTTAAGAGGCTGTCGGTGGTGGTTTTTTGGCTTCCATCGTTCTTAGTGGATGCAGAGTGGAGAGGAAGTGGAGAGCTATCAAGTCGAGGAGTTGCATCAGTGGAAGGAAGGCTAGATGATAGAGATGAAGATGAAGACAAAAATGAGTGAGTAATAGAGAGGTTTCGCGTGCGTTTCGGATTGTGAGGGCGATTGTTACTTCCCGGCTGCCCACACCGTGGAAGTTGGTTGCGTGACCGCAGAGCCCAGGGGACAACTGCTTGAGGCCAGTCACACGCGACCTGTTTTTGTTTGTGCTCTTTTGTTTGGTGTGTCTCAGTAGCATACTTATCACTCCTGCTCTGTGACACGGCAGTAGGAAGCGCGGTCGTTGTTAATCCGGGCCACGGCCGATCCGGCATGAAATTTTGTGATTTTGTATGATGTTGGATTGGGTAGCTGCTTTTTGTTTAACCGCTATCCAAACAACCTGCCTGGCATGGTAGGACCTGAAGAGACATAAGTCTCAGCCAGTATAGCTTGAATAGATCATTACGGTGTTCAAGCCCGACCACCACGTCAAGGTAGCAGCTTTCGGTCGAGAAATATATATATATATATATATATATATATATATATATATATATATATCACATTCTGATGTGGTTGTGTTCTCTGAGCTGGATAGTCTACTTGCGAAGCTTTCATTGCCTAACTAGACATCTTCAGCGCATACTTCAATTTTGAAATGAGGTTTCGGATTTCTCCACGAGTTTATTAGTCTAGTTGCTTAGTAGGGCAATGAAAGCTTCGCAAATCAACTATCCAGCTCAGAGAACACTACCACATCAAAATCACCCACCTGAGCTACAAATCTTCTCTATCATATCACACATTCCAGTTCTGTCTGTCTGTCTGTTTTCGACATAGAACTTTGCACAAATGTGCGGAAGTTCAAGTCGCCACATTCCGTGTAGCACGCGAAGCAAGAAAAGAAAGTACAAGAAAAGCATAATAGAAACAGTGAGCAGAGGTGTGAGACAAAGGAGTAATAAAGAAATACAAAACAGTTTCATTGAAGATCATAAGTCACAGGGAGTGGATGCGATTGTTACTTCCCGGCTGCCCACACCGTGGAAGTTGGTTGCGTGACCGCAGAGCCCAGGGGACAACTGCTTGAGGCCAGTCACACGCGACCTGTTTTTGTTTGTGCTCTTTTGTTTGGTGTGTCTCAGTAGCATACTTATCACTCCTGCTCTGTGACACGGCAGTAGGAAGCGCGGTCGTTGTTAATCCGGGCCACGGCCGATCCGGCATGAAATTTTGTGATTTTGTATGATGTTGGATTGGGTAGCTGCTTTTTGTTTAACCGCTATCCAAACAACCTGCCTGGCATGGTAGAACCTCAAGAGACATAAGTCTCAGCCAGTATAGCTTGATTAGGTCATTGCGGTGTTCAAGCCCGACCACCACGTCAAGGTAGCAGCTTTCGGTCGAGCACATTCCAGTTAGTGTGTGTCGGTGGCGCAGCTGTAGAATACTCACCGACCTTGCATGTGATTCGGAGTTCTATCCCCAGCCACTGACGCACTCCTTTACCTCGTAAAGGGGAAGGTTGAGAATGAGCCTAGCAATCCCATCCTGTAAAAATAATCCCCACTGCAACAGAAACTTCAAGCCTCTAGCCTGAAGTAGCCCTATGTTCGACTGGGAAGGTAAAGGAATAAAATAACACAGTCTAGCGCTCTGATGCCTAGTGTTAATGTCAACAATAACTTCTTTCTCTTTAGACCCCCACCTAAATTATGAACCATACACACACATTAATGATTGCTATTACATCTCCTACATACCCACTGATGCTACTTTTTATAGTCATTATTTAATTAGGAACTGTTCCATCGGTTACACTAGTTTGTATGGCGCAAAATTTGAGACCATCTATAAATACTTTTATACCTGCTAAAACACTCTACACTTTGTTGTCAAAGTGCATATCTAAATGCAGATTATTACCAGTATACTTTGTCACGAAGGCATAACAACGGACTTATGTGTAGCGTTTACAAACAACTCATGCAAATCAAGAATAGCTGGTATAATCACTAAAAACTGTAACAATTTTAAATGTGTATTAATACCCCAACTATTCCCTGAGGCATATTTACGTGAAATCACATTTACCACATACACCACAGGCCAAAAGAAAACAGGCGATCACCAAAAGACTTCATACAATTTCATATGATAAGCAGTTTAGATACAGAGAGAGAGTAGTTGGCAGATATTCATTCCGTTAGAAAAACATTTGAATACCACAATTTACGAAAACGTTGATGTGTAACACGAAAAAAATTTGGAAAAACTGAAATACAAAACTAAGGGGTGAAATTTAATGAGACACCAGCCCACATTGTGCTTTACGGTGAGTGTAACTAAACATAAAATGAATTATTCATTTGACTTACATAACCTCCCATTGAAATTCCATGAAGTGCAAATGGTCCATAACCGTTCTGTTCACACCAATCTAACAGCGCACTGCATTCCATTATTAGAGCTCCGCCCATGATGAATAGATCAGAGACGAAATTCAAACTAGAACCTCTAGAAATAAAAAAAAGAGAAAGTCATCGATACAGCTGTATCCTAACTCGGAGATATGTGTACTCAACAAAATTATGCAGAACCACACTCCTACTGTGTACACAAACACCAAATCTACAAAAGTTGAGAATATACTTGAACTAGTCTTTAAATAAACATTTTCATCGGCATCTGTACATACTGGAAAAAGTTAAACTATCATTGCCAAAACCAAAGTGCCCTAGAATAACTAATCAGCAGTCAGACAGGAAAAAATCGTATAATCATTAAAAATTGCATCAAAAAATATTGCAAACTTTATATTACACTGTATAGTTGTAACTTAGTGTGTTTTAGGAATGTCTCCAAGTCAATACACATCTGATCTATAGAGATATGCGCGATATGTCCAACAATCTAGATGACCGTAGGTCATAGTACTTTGAGACCCGTTGACATTTCTGACACTATTCTCAAACCTACTCCTTACTGCAACCATAATTCTAACTCTAAATTCTAACTTTAACCCTAAACCTAACCCTTACCCTAGACCTCAATCTTATAAGCCATAAGCCTAGCTAACGGCATAGATTTGCAGAAAAAACGCCTAATAAACAACTAGAATACTGTATCTATCCTCTCCAAGTCAAAAAAGGCAGGTATGATTTGATTTGGAATGATATTTCATAGCATTCCCTGTGTCTGATCGGTTCTTAAGGGTCAACTTTTGAAAGACCTTGGATAAGGCTATGTAACTTCGCCAATTTATTTAATAAGAGCACACATCGAAACGGTATTATTTACTGATGTTTTGAGCACAGTTTATTGCGCATAATCATATCAAGGCCTTGAAATAGGGAAAGCAATGATATGACAAGGACACGATGCCTAAGTATACAGACACTAATTGTTAGTCCAAGGCATGTATACTGAAGCCCCTACAGTTACAGGAATGTTTGGTTGTATGTTCTAACTGGTAAAAACTAATGATTGTTCGCACTGACAGGTGGATCTAAACATTAGCTTCAGTTTAAATCTGACAGCGAGTTTCTATTCACTTCATTCCTTTCATTTTGCAGTACCTCAAGAAGGGAGAATTTTAAGGGAAAATAATACATTTCTCCAATTTCCTATATATATTTGCATATAAACCCTTTAGTTGAGTTCACAGCCCATGACTGTTTTTATTACGTACTTTACATGTTAATTAAAAGATTCGACCGACTGATACAACATACATAACTTTAATGTATTTCTATCAGTATTTTTGTAAGACCACTGTATATTCGCCTGACGTATTACATCAAGGAACTCTTCAAAATTTGGATCGACTCTTCCTTAGTAGTAAACTACATACAATGATAAGACAAAATAGAGATTATATTAATTCCTAAAACATGCAGCAACAATACTTGAGGCAAATAGTTTTTAAAAAATTAGCAAATAAATGAAGAAACAAACTTTTGGTCCTTAGGTTTCCGAGTGGAATAAAATGGATTCATTATAATAAGGGATGCGATACCATCTTCAATCAATTGATTGGCGAGAAATAATCTTCTTCGGGAGTAATTCTAAAGAAAGTAAAGTATACTAGACAATAATTACGTGATCACCCGTGCCAGCAAAGTGAATGCAAACTGGTCGATAATTTGTAGACCAGGATTTTGGTATAACCATTTGAAATCTGAGATATTCTTAGAGACAACAAAATCTACCTCGAAACTTTATTGTCTTCTTTAAGTGCATTGGGAATGATAGCATCAAATGGAGATAAGAATGATCCTTCGATTTGTACAGCACGCTTACCCTCGGTTCTCTGAACGTGAATTCAAATATGTACTGAAAATACCTTCTCAATATTGATATTAGTCTTAGACTTGACTGAACAGTAAAGATCCCTTTGTTTGACAATCTTCATATTCTCAACCAACCTATACGGTTTGAGATTATACCTGAACATTTAAAATAAAATCCTACTTAATAAGTATATCTGGCCTGCCCCAACCCTTACTGAAGAATTTCATCGGTAGAACACTTCGGTATATTTTATCAAAGGTACTCATTTCCTCTCCTGGATTTTTATTACTACATCTACATACTAATGTCCTTTAACTAGAAAAATCGTACGTTAACTTAATGGTGACCCTGAGGACAACCTTGAAACTTATATAAATACTGCAAGTTAACAAACTCTTCCCTAGACCAACGCACTTAATTAAAAACGCGCTTATAGGGTTCTTGATAACTTTTTACTGTTGAAAAACCTTTTTGATAAAATACTTCTCTCACTTTTGGGTAAGACTTAATAATAAAATTCTTATTCAGGACTCAATATTGTTGTGGTGACTCTATTGGCTTATAGCTGTCATCGTTCATGAACGGCGCACATAAAACTGTGCCACTTCATTGTAACCACTGACAAGCTTCCTTTCAGGGAATACCAAGTATTTAAGTCTAGACACATCTGATAAGAACACCTTCGCTAACGTTACAAAGGCTACCATGGAAACCAAGTGCGGATATATAAGGGTTTGATGACGATAGAGGATAGGGGCACAAATGGCTTATGGAGAGGCTGAGCACTTGAAGGTCACTTACGCACACTGTGATTGGTAGATTTTCCTTTGCGTGAACGTTGCGGCTAATACGTGCCGTAGGTTACTGAGGCGGGCTTTGAAATAGCAATAATAAAAGCGGATAAACATTATATTTTTTAGCTTAAGGGAACATGTTAACATGCTTATAAATTTCACAGATGTGAGAAGCATTAGATCCAGTAACAAGGAGAATACTACTGGGTAACTTAATCAAAGAAATATAAAGTTTGAAGATTTTATCTCTTACAGTTAGTTGTAACGGATGGATAAGAGTCACTTGTATAATATTTGCTTTTTATAGAAGAGAAAGTGTGACAGGTGATTTTGAAGTCACACGATTCCTGAAATCTATCGTAGAATATATGGACGACTAATCTATAGAATTTCACCAACTCTGTGGTTGTTCCTTGCCTTGTTCACATATTCACTGTGGCTAAGATTAGGAATTGTTCACCAAAGGTAAGAATAATTTACCTGACATGTATACATCTTCAGATATTTCTCAGTTTCTGCGAACGAAACTGGTGGTGACGAAAACTGCAAGACTGGTCCAACACCACTAACAACGGAGGCAAACTGGCACAGATGTTGCGGATAGAGTGTTTGGTGAACTTTATGATGACTATGATGCAGCTATAAAAAACTCTACAGCTGCGATTTTTTCACTGGATTATTATTAACTGTTTTTAGTGCATATATGTACTCTTTTATTCTGAGTCATTTTCAACTTGACTGATTATTGTTTCATTACAAATATATGCATTTATGTCAACTAACTTTGTCTCTTTTACTTATCATTTTGAGGACATTGCAGAGTTAACGAGAATGATAGGCAACGTATTAATACTTATGTAAAATGCGTCAGTCATAAACTGTTATTACTTCCTCAATGCGTCATCAAGCCTTGCGTAAAGTGTTTCAGTTGCGTATAAGATTAATATTCAAGATTGTTAAGAAGATAGCCGTCAAATATGTGTTCGTACTGTAATAACGAAACAAAGTCTAGCAAACGTAGGTTCTATATGCAGACGACATGTATTAGTAGTCCAGGCAGTTCAAGTACACAATGCGACGTGTGTCTCAATTATCATAAATACTCTGTTATTATTATGTTGCGTTTAACACCACTATCTCGAAGGGTATCATTAGGTAATAAGGAGAAAACTACGTTACTCTTCTTGTGTTATCATTTCGTATCAAAAGGCTCTTACATGATCACACCAACACTTAGACTCGTGCATTAATGCAACTAATTAGTTGACTACGTCACTAAACTTCGTTGATTATTTTGCTATCATGAAATACTGTGACGCATTAAATAGGCCTTTGTTGTGCATATCGCCTGTTTAAGATTTACTAACGAAAGCAATTACTCAAAAGCGATAACAGTACTCCATCGTGACAAAATTCAGCAACGTGTGAATCTGCCATTTTACGAATATTACGTCTTCTACATTGGCATCACTTTGCAACTCGACAAACACTAAGTATTAATGGAGCAAAATTTGTAAAACAATATTTATTTCGATAAATACATTATTAATATCACAAAAATTCCATCATTTACACAAATATTATCGTTTTCAATCCCAATTAGAATGTCTAAATGTATTGAGTGATTGCGGGATTGAAGACCATAATCTGGAAATTAAAAATAAACATTCGGTCAAGATGTGATGAGTTAAATAAATAAACATAAAATACAGTACGTACTAGTTAAATGACTATCTCTTCACCGTTATCTGACGAGATAACCAACTCAATTTCCTTTATTTCTGAGCAATTTGGTAAAAATCATGAAATTATAATTACCTCGATATTTGACCCTTTTCTCATCATATACGTAAAATAAACTTCAAAATTTGTAATTATTTGGCATTTTCTATCATAATTGACATTTTTCAATGAATTGTTTCATTTCTTATGCATCTCGAGATGTCAATTCGATGAAAAAACAGCATTTCGTCAACACAATGAAAACGATTACTTTTCTCACTTTTTACACGTTTTTTCGTTAAAATATGATTTTTAAAATGCATTTCTGTCGAAAAAACCACTAAAAACAACGTAGAATAGCCTAAACACAACACCACGATAACACCTTAAAACTGAAACAATCAGCTGATTTGTGCCCCTATCCTCTACCTTTGATGACACCTCTAGGTAAGTCATTTTACGCATCCGGTGAGCGCGGGCGGCTCAGTTTTAAAACATTCGGTCAGTGGTCAGTAGCGGTCACTTGAATTTTTCTCCAAACGACTTCAGACTACGGAAAGTACAGTACTTTTGATAGGGAGCCTCTGGTTATAAACTATGCTCTACGTCACATTCGAAATTCAGTGAAAACTTGTTGACTCATTATTTTCAGAGACCATAAGGCTTCCGGATACTCCCTAAACACAACACAAGAGATACGTACCATGATAATTAAGCCTAATATACTACATTTCACAGACTACTTCAAGCACCTACTGTGTATCTAAGATGCATAACGATTTCTCAGAGGCCTTTTCGCACATCTCCCTCGCCTACATTAAGGCTACAGACCCTCTGAAACTGACTCGTCTTAATACACAGCATAGTGAACTCAGACTTTAAATATCGCCCACGACACTAAATTTTCGAGAGAAACCAATATGGTAGTCCTACTTTGTGGCGTTTCTATGGACACACTCCCTCCTACCGTGTCCAGAAGTTACTCATATAAAATCTTCAACACGTTACATGACTGATCTCATCCAGGCATTTCAGCTACATAAAGCTCATAAATAGTTAGGCCGGCCGGCATGGTGTAAATAAGAGGGGAATGCGTCAGATTGCGAGGAAGCCTTGTGGCAAGTGTCTAATTCTAAGATACACGTCCCTACAATGTCCATATAGATTTCTACTATATCTCCGCCTTTTACATGAAATAAAGTTTCACTGGTGCGCCCACGTCATACTTTGGCAGTTTTCTTTGATGACCTGAAGCAGTATCCTAAAGGACGTTTCTGATAAAACAGTAGCACACGACTTCACTGGAAAGATGGATTGCGAATTTCACATGCCTACCTCCCATAACAGCTGGCTGCTGGTGACTTCTTTTTTGTATGAGCTGTAGAAAACAGCCTACGATCCCCAAGTCAAAGATGTAATAGAAGGCTCTCATCAATAGTTGGGGACTGGGCTATCAACCACAAACACGTGTGCATTGAACTCAGCTGCTACCCTAAGTTATCCATGGCTTTTAGGATTTGTTGAAGACTAATACCAGATGTACGACAGTTGAGCTGCCAGGCTAAGCTACACTGAGACCACCAGGTTAAGTTGTTTCGTCCTCCGGTTTTCTACTAACTAGTGATTTGACCTAGTACGTCAGTATCTTGTGAAATTAATGGGAGCATTTAACTCAGACGTTCACTGACCAGAAGTAACATTTACTTTTTGTTTGATCAAGTTTAAAAAATCATATGTTCCAATATCCAATATCGTTTTTACGAGCCACTTGATTGATTGTAAGGTATAGGTTCCTGATCTTCGGTAAACTTCTGCGTAGCTCGTCCCGCCACTTGACTGTCGTAGCTTTGGTTGACTCCAAAAGAAGTTGTCAGCAACGTCTCCTAAACCGTTAATGCCCAGCTCCTGCTGCACTCGGGCTCACGCTGTTCCTTGAAGTTTCTCAGAAACGCTTAGTATTGACGGACGCAAAAACCAAAACACCAATTGGCGACTCGAGGATTCTTTATTGTAACACCAACATATAAACACTGTTACAACTAAGGTCTGTGAACAAATATTACAATAATAAATCACAATATTACTTCTGATGGTTTTCTGCTGACTTCTTTCTGAACAGCGATCGATTAGACGATGACTGTCGTATTGATGCCTCCGCGAAAATATAGGGAAGTTGGGTTTGAGCAAACAACCATGAATTGATCGTTCAATCTTCAACTACATTGACAGAAGTAGTGCTGGGATTAATTATTTGTGGTTTGTAGTATGAGGTGTGTTAAGGCTGTTACTACTGAGATTGGAGTTGATCATTTCGCCAGTTAGTCCTCCGGTATCGTCGACAAGAGAAAAGAGATGATAATAATAATAACAGATATAGTTACTGAAGTTATTCAGACTAACAGAAAAGGAAATAGGAAAACGTAACAAAAGTCAGCTGATTAAATTTGAAGAATTATATATATACATATATTCATATATATCGGTAATAATAATAATAAGTGCAGTTAAAGTTGTCAGGAGGGTAAGAGGGGAGAGAATGTAAAGAAGTTAAGCGACGAGTTTAATTGTCTACCCCTGAATGGTGTAAGCGATCTCAAGGGGATAGGCCATTTGGATGCAGCCCTTGTGTCGCTGCATGGTTGTCCAGCCTTCGCTTAAAGGCATCCAAAGACGGTGCCATAGCTACATCTGCCGGTAAGGAATTCCAAGAACGGCACACCCGCAGTGAAAAGAAGTGGGAGCGCACCTGG